TTTGCCAAAGGTGCATTGGTGTTTATTGTTAAGATCAAAAAAAAGTAATTTTAACTGGATGATTTGCTGGGCCATGGGCTGTATCTGGCTTGTGGTTCATACCCAGTGCTGCACCACGAGCACACAGAGCCCCGTCAGGGCTCAGCTGGCGTTTCAGGAGCTGCCTGGATTTGGAGGCTTTGTCTCCAGAGGGCTCTGATTGGCATGGGGCTCTGCCAGATCCTGCAGCCTCTGGAGCCATCACCACCATCACTGGGGAGAGCTGCTCTCCTGGGGCCTCCTGCCCTGCTCTGTAGCAGTACCACGCGTCCATCTTCTGTCTCCATCCCATGGTGGTTACAAATCAGTGGAAGGCATTCCCCAATGCCATTTCATCATGCAGAGCTTCACAGATGTTTAAAGTCAATCCAGCCTCTGGTGTCACTTTGGAGCTATTGCCATCTTTTATTCTTCCTCTTTAAGCAGGCCAAGCCATAAGGGTTGCTATAGCATTTTTTTTTCTCCACAAATTTAATAGCTGTGCACAACTTGCTTGAATTCACAGTGTATTTTCCTCAAGTGCACATTTCATAATGTAAACATGATCCCCACAGTAAGTGGTGTTTAGCACAATCTTGCACCTTCTCTCTGTCATTGGGCAGGGAGGTGGGAGCTGGCAGAGGAGCCACCTGCCTCACCCAGGCATTGCTGCGGAGCGGGGCCCAGAGTGTTCACACGTGTGTGCCCACTAAAGTATGGACTGAGGAAGGAGGCAGATGGGCCCTGGCCACTGCAGAGGGTGAGTAAAGTGTGTGACAAGAAGATGAAATTGCTGGCAGGGAGGCTGCTGAGGGGCAGGAGTGGTTCTGTCCCTGCAGACAATGCCAGGGAAACACACAGGAATGTGCTGGAAGTTGCTGTCTCAAAATGTTAGCTGCAAATCCTGGTGGAAGACAAAGTTTTACTCTTAGGGTGAGGATCAGATTAAGAGAAGAATTGTCCAGAGATCCCCCTGCCTGGCTCTGGACTCCATGGCCTCAGAGTTTCCATGAGGGATTGTGCTGGGGTGATAGCAGCAGCCAGCTGCCTTGACCCTAGAGCGCTCAGAGTAAGTGTTTTTATGCAAGGGAGGACATCGTCCCTATTCCCT